CTTGGGAAAATGCTTCCCATTACAATAAATGGGCAAGAATCCATGTTCTCAACTGCTAAACTTAAGCCCAAGCTTTTCTTGTAAAAATGGTTCTGCATACCCTGTTTGTATGATGTCTGCTACCTTAGCCTCCAGGCAATTCTAGTTTTGCACCTAAGAGCAAAAAAAAACAATCAGCCAACCAAACCTGATCCAGTTTATCCAATAGCTACCTGGGATCTTGCAAATTCTCCCTTTAGAAAATGCTATCCTGATAAATACCTTGAAGTTGATTCTGTAGCTTCTTTTTTTCAGGGTCTTCTGAGTCCCCTTCCCCATCACTGTCATTCCTGATTTGGAAGCAAGAAAACAAAAATGTTGAAAGGCAATAAAGGAGACTGCTCTCTTAGGGTAAAAATCAGAATGCAAAAAGCAGGAAAACCACCAGTCTGAGGAATGAAAGAAACTTTGAGATGCTTTCAGATCTTTACAAGTTTGCATCACTGTACTCCTCCTTTTCTGCACCATGTTCTAATTCACCCTCCTCACCATTTCAGCTTCTTCCTATGGGTCAAAGCCCTCTTAAAACATTTCTACACTGGCACTTGTCCCCTATCTGGAACTGCAACAGGACTTGGTCTAGTACAACAAACTGTACACCCTCATCAGAGCAAAGGAAACGCGACATTAAAGAAGGGGAAAAGGAGAATAAATAGTGAACAGTTGGAGTGGACGTTATGAAAATATATCTGGGCTATTACCAATTCCTTCTATTATAGACCAGCAGAACAGAGTACAGTTAAAAAAAAATACAAACTGATGAGACGAATAGACAATGAAGGAGACTGAAAACCACATAGAGTTTCAAAAGACAACTGAAAAACTCAGCAGTTCAGGATTGCCAAAAAGGGCAATCCCACGATCCTGAACCTTTTCTTTCTGCTATCCCCATAAAGGCAAATGAAAAAGCAGCTCTGCTTGTTCAGCTCTGACACGCAAGAGGACAAAGAGATCTAATGAAGGCAGCAGAGAGACTAAGCAGCAGCAAGGCTTTAGAGTGATCCAGTCCATCTTACAGAACTACACCCTGCCCAGAGCTTTGCACCTCTTATCGAGTGTGAGACAGATTCAACTCAGGCCCCAGTAATCATCAGTCTGAATTTATTTCCTAGTTACTAAGAACTTAACTGTAGAAAAATTAAGACTCAGAGGGCTCATTGCCATTAAATCAAATAATCACGTTAGTCTGAAACAGCTTTCATTCTTCAGTGAATTTCCTATGCAGATGTTTCCATCTTTTAGTGAACAAGCATCTAACATCACAGCCACTTCTGTGATGTTATTTTTCTGTATTTCAGAACTAGTAGTCATCTGAAGCAATTTGAAAACACTAGTTAAAATGATATTTGAAGAGTTGAATTTTAGAATAAGCTGAGTTTAAGAAGTATTTTCCTTTACCTTCTCCAAAAACATACCCTTTTCCATCAGTAGGACCAGACTCTTTAACTTGTTTTGGTGCAGCTTTTTCTCTCTTTTTCAGATATTCTTTCAGCTTTTCTGCTCTGTCCAAGTATTCTGCACATTTCATTCTAATGTTCTGTTTTGCTTTATCACCCTGTGTTTCATCTAAGAGTTTGAAGAGAAATAGTGCTTTATTAACAGCAAAACACATGCATCAACCAGAAACAGGACTAAATCTCTGCCTTCTTTGTATCTTACCAGTATACCCCTCTCAGGGCTTATCATATAACCAAACATCTCAGCTACTTATTTTTCCACTGTTCCATGGAAAGAAGTGACAGGAAGGATGTCATTACCTACCAGAAATCAAATATAGCTTGAAGATTGCTTGGGCTTAAAATTGGACTGTAAAGAATTAAGGACAATGGCAACTTGACTTTTCTGTCATCCTTTCAAGCTGCTATACATTGTCTTAACTCCTAAAACAGCTCACCAAGAAGCTCCGTGTGCTAAACAACCTTTATTTTTCCATAGCCTGCCGATTTTAAAAGATGTTCACATCATAAACAAAAGAATGACATAAGCCATCAGAAAGCTGCATGTGATTCAATAGCCACACTGCTCAAGAATCACCATCATAGTGCTTCAAATCAACCATCAAAATTTAATGTTAGGTTTATGTGTTAAGTTTCTACACTACATCAACATTATTAAAACCACAGAAAATGATATTCTGGTACAGTCATAAGATATAAATGGTTAGAAAGTGATAAATTATCCTAAGTGACTATGAAGAAAACAGTGTCAGGCCATCAACCCTACAGACTAGGGCTGTACCTACATTAGGTAAGCCCAGTCCCTGCATATAAACACTAGGCATGACAAAAAAAAGTTAAAGGCATGTGAAAAGCATAAAAATCATGAGAATATGGAAGCTGAAGAAAAATTACAACACAGATCCATTTCATACATTTTGTTGGACAAGATGAACAGCAAAACTATGACATTAAGGAACAAAAAATGCCAGCAAGGAAAGCAGCCCAAGTTAAGGAGTTAAAAACGCTCTGTAGATGCAGCAAAGATTTCATGTGTACCATGGGTTTTAGTACAAGAGAAACACAAGGATGCCTGTACTTAGTCTCTCATCTCCTCATGCAACGGCCAGCCTGAAACATTGCTACAGAAGTCCAGAGGACAGCAAACCCCTGCCTTCCTATCTTCAAAAAAAACTAAAGCAAAACAAAAGTAAAAAATAATCTGATTTCTTATGAAAATGAAGCAGGGATACAACCGTAAAGGCAAAAGCTGCAAAATGTATAGCCTCAGCCAAACTACTATTAGCAAGCATCAACTGATGATGAAGGTAAAAATTTGAACACTAATGTCAAGAAGATTACTGTGTGCAATTTGACTGCCAAACTCTACCTCATCATCCAATACACTGTACTTACATTTAACAACATGGAGGAAATACCGCACAGCCTGCTGGTACAAGTCAAAGGCTTCCTCATAGTTTCCTGCTTTATCTTCTTGTGCTGCCTTAATAGCAAGGTCTATTGCCTTCTGTAACACAAGCAAATAATTAAGTCCTGCATGAGAACATTTTGCATCAAAGAGACATTTTAAGCTGTTGCTATGACAGTTTTTTGATGGCCAGTTTTTCTCTCTCCAACACTTACTCCAAAAAGTTGAAGGGAACTGATTGCAAATCTTAGGTGCTGTTTTGTACATGACAATATTTCTATTCTTTGATGAACAGTGGTTAACAGACTGATGAAATTTACTAGCACACAAAAAAGTCCAAGTGAGAAGAACAAGTTTTCTTATGGAAAGATCTGGAAATCCGTTCTAAGCTGGTTTGGGTTATTTTTGTCACAGACTGAGACACTTTGAGCTATGACTGATGACATCAGTAAACCCTGTCAACAACAGAATCAATACAAGAAGTATGTGATTACAATGCACTGAAGCTAGCACTATCCCTCTGCCAAACCTATGCTGGGACACTTCTGCAAAGACTATTCATTTGGCTTCTCTAGAAGGATCTTGGTTCTTGATATCCAAGTGAGAAATTCTGATTACCACTCCTGTGGGCAGAGAGGAAAAAAAAAACACCAGAGAACAGACCTAATCACAAACATCAAGAAAAGTCCTAGGAGAAGTTATGAGTTTTTAATTTGTTTGTTTTCAGATAAAACTGACTGTGATCTAAGCTACTGTATTGCATACATTGGCCTGTGGATTTGTTGGCATTGCCGTTATTCCTCAGCCCTTAAGTGATAATTACCTTTTATTATGCTGTGCTCCTTGGAGTGCCTGTGCCACTTCAGGACAGTTAGAACTGTCAGTTTGAATGACTAGTTCACATAAGTTTAACAAAGGCAGTCAGTTAACCAGACTTAACTAACACTAACATGTGTCCCCACATGTATTTTTCCACGTTCAGTCCATTTATTTTCCCAAGCATTGTTAATAATATTCTCAGGATGATGGCGCTGATGTCAGGGAGCAAGGTGGAAAACTTCAGCTGCAGCAAGGAGTTTTCATTAGGCCTTCCAGTACAGATAATTTTGCCACTCTCTGGATATTCTGATGTGCTTTAGGCAAAACAAAGCTAGTAAACAGTAGCTATGAAAGAAGGAACAGCAAAATCTCTCATTCTGCTTTGTGTTGCTGTCTTGGCAACAAAGATAATCTCAACAGATCTACCCAAAACAGAGTAAGCTATTTGAAAAGAAGCAGATTTTATGGCTCTGTTGTCTCAAGCATTGGAATACTGTAAACACCTGTTTCACTGGAACTGAATTTAAGTCTCTCCTTTCCACATATGAATGAACAGTCACCAATTTGCTGCTCACCTTGTGCTGGCTCCATTAGGCCCTTCTATGCACCATTCAAATTCAGCAAAAAGCAAAAATTAACCCAAAAAAGAATTTACTTTTTCTTAAAGTTCTTAAGCCCCTTCAGTGATTTAAATTACCACAGAACAGAACAATGACTCCTGGATCCAGTATGAAGACAGTGGTACATGTGACACTAAATCCAAAGAATAAATAGCAAAGACCACCAGCTAAAACAGAACTGTGAGGAAAACAGGGCATGTTACAGCCCGTCTCCTCTGAAATAGAAAAAAAAAAAGTCTCTGTCATGTATTGACTGGTGTTAGCATACTCTTTTTTTGTAAATAATCCAGAGACCATTACTTCGGTATTAGATTCTTCATCTCTAGTACCTCATTACATCAGCTGGCACCTTAGCCTGTTACTGTGATGAAGAACATAGGTATCAAACAGGAAACAATTCATTAGATTCATCATGAACTAGGGTGTAGACATGAGCCACCAATGTGCAGCAGCAGCCCAGAAGGCCAGTCACATCCTAGGCTGCATCCAAAGAAGCGCGGCCAGCAGATGGAGAGAGGTGATCCTGCTGCTCTGCTCTGCCCTGGTGAGACCTCACCTGGAGTCCTGTGTCCAGCTCTGCAGCCCCCAGCACAAGGAGGACGTGGAGCTGTTGGAATGTGTTCAACAGAGAGCCACAAAAATGATCAGAGGGCTGGAGCACCTCTCCTGTGAAGACAGGCTGAGGGAGTTGGGGTTGTTCAGCCTGGAGAAGAGAAGGCTCCACAGGGACCTACAGTGACCTTCCAGTACCTGAAAGGGGCCTACAACAAAGCAGGGGAGGGACTATTCACGAGGATCTGGAGCGGCAGGATGAGGGGTAATGGCTTTAGGCTAGAAAAGGCTAGATTTAGGTTAGACATTAGGAAAAAGTTCTTTAATAGGAGGGTGACAGATCACTGGAACAGGTTGCCCAGAGAGGTGGTGGAGGGCCCAGCCCCGGAGACATTCAAGGCCAGGCTTGATGAGGCTCTGAGCAGCTTGATCTACTTGGAGATGTCCCTGCTTATGGCAGGGAGGTTGGACTAGATGACCTTTGGAGGTTCCTTCCAGCCCAGACATTCTATGATAGATGACCAGCTTAACTAGCCATGAGGCACAAACTGTATTTGTGAGGCTTTGGTTTGGTATTTTGTTGAAAATCACCCTCAGAAAAAATGTTGTCTTAAACAGGCTTCATTCTCCTCCTGCTTACTCTAGGCCCCAGAGCATCTCCCTTAGCTTTCACTGCACAGCCATAATGAACCTACAGAAACGATCATTGTTCAGAACAGCTGAGGAGGAAACGACTACTTTTAACATAGGTCGTTTCCGGATCTGTTTTCCCAATCAGCTGCAGAACCGATTACACAGCCCCAGCGGAGGGCTGGCACAACGAGAAAAGCAGAACAGGAAAAGCCTTCCTGCTGCCTGCAGTCTGTGAAGAAACCTAAACCAAACTACGCGTCTAGACCACAAGAGGCAACAGTGCTTCCCAGGTGGCGATCAGGCCCCGCAGCTCCAG